GGGGGGGGGGGGGGAGGACATAATGCAATGCCTTGGAGTATTGCTCCCTTCCTAGGAGGCCTCACAGTGAAGCCCCCAAGGTTATGTCTCTTCAAGTGCATTTCCTGGTGACAGTCCTGCTTCCTTCAGGGGCTTGGCCTGAGTTCCTTACTCCTCAAAATATCTTTCTCGGGTTTCACAACTCTTGGTCCCCAGGAACTCCCCCTGCTCTCTACTCCCTTCCAACTGCAGAAGATAAGCTGAGAAACTACCCCTATTTCCAGCGAGTGGCATCAACATGAGGAAACAGGGATGTGTGTGTGGTGGTGCAAGGTAGCTAGAAATATACATATGGGGACATGATGGTGTTTTAGGACATTTCAGCAAGACTGGCCTTATACAAAGCCTTATAGTTCCCAACGACCCATCCAGCTCACACATCTTCTCTGCCTCCTGCAGACTTTGTCTCTTATCCTCTATGTCAGTGGTCGGCAAACTCATTAGTCAACAGAGCCAAATATCAACAGTACAACGATTGAAATTTCTTTTGAGAGCCAAATTTTTTAAACTTAAACTATATAGGTAGGTACATTGTTATTAACTTAATTAGGGTACTCCTAAGCTGGCCTTTGCTAAAAACGTCCTCAATCTGATTGAGGTACGTTCGCTGAGGTCGACCCCTTCCAACTCTCCCATCCACACTCGTCTTGTATACTTGTTTCGTCTATATTCGCATTTTCTCCTAACCTTATTTTCTGCTCCTGCCTCCTCTTCCCTCTTACACGTACTCCACGTTTCAGGAAGTGAGGGTGACTTAGGTTTGCGATCGGATCCTGCGTTTTCCTGCACCGGCCTTTGCTCCAGCTGCTCCTGCGGCTGAAGGCGCTTTCCGCCTTAGATGCACACCTTCAACTCCCACCGGCCTCCCCGAAGCCCCGCCTCCGTGCCCACCTGTCCCACTCAGACCCCGGTGACTGCAGCCTCCCTGGGCCCTAATCACATGCTATGCCCGCCTCCGGCGGTGCCCATCACCCTGAGGGCAGTTGTGTGGTTCCGGGGCCTATTTCCCTGGAATGAGCTCCTTCCGGGCAGGGGCTGGATCCAATTTCTCCATCCCTCCCAGTGCCTGGTCCATAACCTACCTCAATAAAGTTCAGGGAGTGAATGATTCCCCTTTCTTCTTCCTGGGGCCTCTACACACTGGGCTGCTCTCTGCCCCTGAGTTGAATGACCTTCTGCTTGACTTCTGAAGACCCCAGAATCTGCCAACAGCACCACTTATATGGGATTTAAAAATTTTTTTATTGATTTTTTTTTTTTAGAGAGAGAGAGAGAGAGGAAGGGAGAAGGATACAGAGATAGAAACATCAATGTGAGAGAAACATCAATTGGCTGCCTCCTGCATGCTTCCATTAAAGTGTTTTCAAGTTTGTTTTGTCAGGCAATCAATTTACTTGTGGATCAACCTGATCTAATTGAGGTTTGTTTCTAAAATTTTAGGAAAGTCTAGAATAGCCTTTACTCTAGGGCAGTGGTCGGCAAACTCATTAGTCAACAGAGCCAAATATCAACAGTACAACGATTGAAATTTCTTTTGAGAGCCAAATTTTTTAAACTTAAACTATATAGGTAGGTACATTGTTATTAACTTAATTAGGGTACTCCTAAGCTGGCCTTTGCTAAAAACGTCCTCAATCTGATTGAGGTACGTTCGCTGAGGTCGACCCCTTCCAACTCTCCCATCCACACTCGTCTTGTATACTTGTTTCGTCTATATTCGCATTTTCTCCTAACCTTATTTTCTGCTCCTGCCTCCTCTTCCCTCTTACACGTACTCCACGTTTCAGGAAGTGAGGGTGACTTAGGTTTGCGATCGGATCCTGCGTTTTCCTGCACCGGCCTTTGCTCCAGCTGCTCCTGCGGCTGAAGGCGCTTTCCGCCTTAGATGCACACCTTCAACTCCCACCGGCCGGCCTCCCCCCCCGCCTCCGTGCCCACCTGTCCCACTCAGACCCCGGTGACTGCAGCCTCCCTGGGCCCTAATCACATGCTATGCCCGCCTCCGGCGGTGCCCATCACCCTGAGGGCAGTTGTGTGGTTCCGGGGCCTATTTCCCTGGAATGAGCTCCTTCCGGGCAGGGGCTGGATCCAATTTCTCCATCCCTCCCAGTGCCTGGTCCATAACCTACCTCAATAAAGTTCAGGGAGTGAATGATTCCCTTCCTTCTTCCTGGGGCCTCTACACACTGGGCTGCTCTCTGCCCCTGAGTTGAATGACCTTCTGCTTGACTTCCCCGACTCCCCAGAACCTGCCAACAACACCACTTATATGGGATTTAAAAAAATTTTTTTATTGACTTTTTTTTTTTTTTTTTTAGAGAGAGAGAGGAAGGGAGAGGGATACAGAGATAGAAACATCAATGTGAGAGAAACATCAATTGGCTGCCTCCTCCCTCCTGATGGAGCCCGACACCTGGGCATGTGCCCTGACCGGGGATTGAACCAGTGACCTCTTGGTTCATGGGTTGACGCTCCACCACTGAGCCACACCAGCTGGGCTTGATATGGAATTTAAATGTCGGGCAACCCCAAAAGCAAAGCAGACACTCATCCGATGTCCCCACCCTCCCCCTGACTTTCCCCTCCGCCTCTCTCCCTTGCAGCCTGCGGGAGCTCTGAGGCCTCCGCTTACCTGGACGAGCTGCGTTTGGCTGTGGCTTGGAACCGCGTGGACATTGCCCAGAGCGAACTCTTCCGGGGTGACATCCAGTGGCGGGTGAGGGGTCTGACCCCGGGCTGGGGGTCCCCACAAGGGGAAGCACTTGACATGTGGCCTGTCCATCCGCTTCTTATTGTCCAGTGTCCGCATCCTGTTCCCTCTCCATCCACCACTCAATTCTGCACCCCCATCTCTGGCCCTTCACCTCTGACCACACCTGGCCTCCTGCCTGCCCCTGCTCATCTCTCCCCCCGTTCATCCCGCCCCTGCCAGTCCGTCCACCTGGAGGCCTCGCTCATGGACGCCCTCCTGAATGACCGGCCGGAGTTCGTGCGCCTGCTCATCTCGCGTGGCCTCAGCCTGGGCCACTTCCTGACCCCGACGCGCCTGGCCCAGCTCT